GGCTACAAGGCAGGCGTGAAGCGCAGGCTTCAGCCAACAAGCCCTTCCCTGGCAGCTGGCCACGATTACTGGTGTGGCAACGGCACTGAATCCAAGACTGCCAGTGACAGGGCGGCCCGGGACTTTGTTCGGATCACCTGGGATGAAAGGTGAGTGTCCCACTGTTGCCGGGGTTACTGGGAGATGGCGCCCGGAGCTGTGGGCAGCTGTTTTATGCCGTTTAGGGGAAACCTGCCCCAAAATGGAGCCACAGGAAAACAGAGCTAAAGATGGCTACAGGCTGGATTCCTATCACATCACTTGTGTCCCTGAGATGAGTGCTATTCCTGGGCTTTTCAGTTACGTGAGTCAAGACATTTCTGTTTTCCTCAAAACAGTTTGAGTCACGTTTCTGTGACTTGCAATGAAAAGAGTCCTGACAGGCATGTCCATAAACAGACGGCATTTCTTGCACCTTGGGCAGTTCAGATTGCTTTCATTTAGATTAGGAAGTGGGATCTGGAAGGTCTGTGTAGCGCTAGTTCACCCTCCTGCTTTACACAGGAATCTCCATGCTCCATTTTAATTTTTGGTTAAAAATTTTTGGTATGCGAGAAATCATTTTCCTCTGTAGAAGTCTGCTCAGTTTCCCTGATTTATCAAATCATTAAAAAGGGTTCTTATGTCAGACCCAAAGCTACACCTGTGAAATTGCTATCGGGGCTTTGCTTCTGGAGCAACACAGACAGGCTGCCCCCGTCCTTGGTTCCACGTACCCGCCCCTCTCTCTGCGCAGGGTCCCGACCTCCCGTAACTCTGAAAACCATGAATTGTGACTTCTAGGCTTGACTCTGTCCATCACTCATATCTTTTCTGTTTTGATTCCTTTTCCCTGAGTTTAACCATGTTTAATAACAATGTTAAATAACACTTAATAATATTTCTTTCCTTTTTGTCCCTTCTTCACACTTCCTGTAACCACCATAGGTTACACCCTTATTTCTTCAGGCCTGACCCTGACTGTATCAACAATCTAGCCTGGTCTTTTTCTGTCTGACGACTCCCCTCTCATTCCTGAACCCTCTCTTTAAAATGCAGTGCAGGTCATATCCTCCCCTAACCTTAAATTATCCTATTGCTTATTAACTTAACTATCCCTATCATTCAAGGCCCTCTATATTTGTCCTCCCTCCCTCCCCAACATTTCGAATCTTGATTCCCATGGTGTCTGAATCCTTCACACTAGGGTAAGCATCCTCTGCCCAGCCTGGGGCTGCTGTCTGCTGTCCCATAGACACGCCATGTGCAGTCTTACCCCAAACCTCTGCAGTCCCTCTTCTTCACTGATTTTGGTCAGTCTTTCAAACCTAACTCACATCCTTCCTGCCTCACTAGTTTAGAATGACCCCTGACGCACCGGCTGCAAATAATACTTAGTTGGCACTTAGTTACACACTAGTTTCTGTTTTAATGAAAATTGTTGTCTGTGAGTCTTTTCAAATAGACTGCAAGTTACATGGGGCCAGGTACAGAATTCTCATACTTTCTTTGTGTCACCCCAGAGCCCAGGACTGTAGATGCTGGCTGATGTGTCCATGGCTAGGTTATATGTTTTCCCAAATGAAGGCGCGTACAAGAAAATGGAAAGGATAGAGGCATCTCTGCTTGAATGCATAACCATGTTTGTATGAAACCAAACCAGTTTTTGAAATCCAAAAATTGAAATAATCATGGAAAGATTTTTAGATAGCCAGATGTTTGCTACCATTGAAAGGGAGATAGCTTTTTAAAAGTTTTTCGCATAACTCAGGTCTTCATGGTTTTTTTGAATTTCTTTTTTTTTACTATTACTGAAAACTTCTAGTTCAATATCAGAAATTGTATTATAGAGATTTAAATCTTTCATCCTCAAACTTGGAGGTGAGGTTGGCAGGTGGTTGGGTTTTAGGCTGTTAGTTTTGCCAAAAAACTTGAAGGAGAAGGTCAGACTGTAGATGAACCAGTTGATGTTTTCCCTTGTTTTGGTTATAACTAAGGTGGACTCCTCCCCATCTATCTGAGGGCACAAATGCAGCTTTGGGTGGAAAGTCTTGAGAGTCATACCACAGGAAGATGAGATAAATACGGTTCCAGTAAACACAGCCCAAGAGTAGACAGACTGAATGCTAATAGCCTGGACTCCTACATGCTTGAATTTTAGGAGGAAAAGACCTCCACTGTCTTAATGGGACTGACCCATTGTTAGGACCAAAACTACTGAATTCAGAGTAAGGAGAGAAATGAACATTCAACCTGAACATCAACTGTAAACAGCTGGGAAGAGCTAGGTTAAGAAGACTTCCCTAAAAGAGCATCCTGAAGAGTTAGCCATAACTGCCACAGACAAGGGAAGGATGGTGGCTGTCTACCATGTATTTGCTAACCTAATTCAGAGTCCTGGATGAGGCTGTCCCTAATGTGGTCTATCTGAAACCTACCTGTCCTCCAAGGTCCCATTCAAGCACTCACCACCTTGAGGCTTGTCCTGAGAGCCCCATTTCTTTCTTTTCTTTTTTTTTTAATAGACTTTATTCTTTTAGAGCAGTTTCAGGTTCACAACAGAATTGAGCAGAAAATACAGGGAGTTCGCATATAGCCCTCCCTACCCACACATATATACTCCTCTACCCTCAACATCCCTCATTAGTGTGGCATATTTAGTACAATCGATGAACCGACATGGCGCCAGCCCCACTTCTTAATTCAGTGGTCATGCCTATACCACTCATTAGCACATAACATATGCTCGTGATTGTCGTCTGCTGTTTATTGCTGAACATTTCCTCCCTATACATCTGGAGAGTCAAGAATCCTATTACAATGGGATTAAACCTTTGCTTTGGTTAGTCCAGTGAGCAGAGTTGCGACTTTGCTAAAACTGAGTTAGAAATTGCAGGGAATAGTTATGAAATAAGCAGCTCCTGGAACGTCAGCAAGGTGAAGGAAGATGTATTCCTTCTCCTACCCTCTTCTGCCTGTTCCTGTGAGTCCCCTGAGTGGGCTTTCAATTCTGGGAGGTGGTGCAGGACGAGGACAAGCTGAACTTTGTCCTGGGGAACTTGGAGCCTGCTCTGGGATGGGAGAATGTTTCTGAGGAGGTTTTCAGAGCAGGAATTCCTTAGCAAACGATATGACAAATGTGTGTGTTAGTTTTTGAATGGAAGAGTGTGTACCACCTGGAAACCATGTGGATGGGAAAGAGCATTTTAGTGTTAAGTACAATGGCAGATTCCTCTGCTTCCTCCTTGTAACAAAACTCTGATTTTGTTCAAGTGTCAGAGGCCCCCTGGGGAGCCTGGGCTTCTCTGCAGACCCAGGTGAATCTTGATTAGTCAGAAAGCCAGTCGCAGGCATCCTCTTCTTGACCTGGACGGGTTTAAGCATGAACACATAATGCAATTCTGGGGAAGTCTGTTAGGGGACTCCTGACAAAGGTTTTATTCATTCTAAAAAGGGCCATATGAGGTGAAACTTCCTTTTTTCTCCTTTGGATGTTGCTGTATGAGGATGTGATGCTTGGGGCCACTGCAGCCATCTTGGAGTCCTGAGAGGATATGAGGATGGTGAACAGAGGGATGGAAAGAACCTGGGTCCCTGATGAATCTGTGGAGCCTGGAAGTAATTCTGGAGATTCTTCATCTCCAGACCTCTTTTACCACATTTCAGCAATTCTAAGGTACAGACATATAGTTTACATTTTAACATTTCTGACATTGGGATGTATCTTTTATGTCATAGTTACATGGGTAGCATTTCTTCTATTCTTAGGGGAACTTAAAATAATTGAGTGGTTTACAAAAGACTGCATCTAAGATTTGCTGAAGTGTGTAATCTTATTGTTAACCAGCTTTCAGTGGGTTTCCTGTTAAAATGGGTCCTCACAGGTCTGGCTGCTCCCCTCACAGGAGAGAGCAGTGTGGGAAGGGCGCTTAGAACAGGAGGTCACACAGTTGTGAGCAGCTCTTCATGAGGATGTCCGTGGTTCTGAGTGGGACCTGGAATCAGGGTCCCTCCCAGGAAACAGACCTTCTTGGGATTCAGAGCAAATGATCTGCACAGGACCCTGCTTCTCCTCAAGCACAGAGGTTGCCAACTGAAGCATACTCTATGGCTGATGCAGATCTTAAAACAGCCAGTCCTCAGGGCTGTCATCTAGAGTAGTGATGGTCTTGGGCTTCCCGAAATCTAGAGTCCAGGTGCACTTAGCTGGGGAAAGAGAAGAGGCCCCACAAGAGGACTAGGAGTAGATCTGAGGGAACTGAACTCAGGGGAAAGCTCTCAGCCCCTACTTATCACCTGGCCTCACACTCCTCACCCCTTTCCCACAGCTGGAGGGAGGCAGTACCAGCCACACTGTGGCCTCTCCCAGGGCAGCCCTCCCCTCCCTTCCCTCCACTACCCTGCCCCCTTCTCTCCCCTCCCTCTTCCCCGCCCTCTGCAGTCCCTAGCCATGGGGGCACTGAGACCAGTCCCTCCACACCTTGAGATGTCTCTCTTCATTTTGAATTATGCTTCTCTCCTAGACAATTTTAAATATAAGATCACACATACACAATATCAAACCCTGACTGGGCAGGGGCCCCTTGTCACCCTAGATGGATGAATGGATAACTGACTTTGTGGTACATCCACTTCACCTGGGGGGCTAAGGGGGTTTCTAATTCTTTGGAAATGAATTGTGGTTACAGGCTGTGCTTCTTTACTTAAAGTGGCTGAAAGAAGTACAGTGGTTCAGTCCCACTTGGTCTTCTTTGGTTTTGGAAGCAGACGGATGAACCATGCGTGGGCCGGGCAGGGTCGGAGGGGCATGGCCCTCTCTGACTGGACCACACCCCCACCCCGGCCCCAGGGCCAGGTGGGCATATGGGGCTCAGGTTTGCCTCCTTTGTCTCCCTCCTCCCCCTTCCCACAGAAGTCCAGGTGCAGGCTCGGCTCAGGCTGGGCAGCCCCAGCTATAGCAGCGGGAAGCTGAAGTCACTCACCCATGTAGAAATACTCTGGGGACTTGTCCTCTGAAGAGAAATCCTTCATGGTGCCTCCAAACCGAAACCATAGTCCAAAAGCAATGACAGCCGACCCAGCCAGCTGGAAAGTAAACAGCACGTGTTCCTTTACGAGGGAGGGGAAAGTGTGCGCATAACCCGAAAGGGCTGGCACCGCAGAATGCTGAGGGCGGAGGGGGCCCCTAAGAAACCAGCCTGCGCCCTCTTCACGGTTCACAGTGGGGGTGGGATGATGTGCTCAAAGCTGCCGCCCCCACCCCCAGGCCCGTGATGATATTAGATCCCGGGTTTCTTGGCTGCAAGTCTAGAACTGCTCCCATCCCACCAGCCTGCCTTGTGGTTACAGGGGTCACACACAGCACAGCTCAGGAGGATTCTCAAAGAGAGGGTTCCAATAACAGACCACCCCCTACCCTGCCCAGGAAGGCATCTGCCTTCTGTCTTACTGTCCCCTGCTGGGCACTTTGGACTTCATCAGCAACACCCCAGGTCACCAAGAGCAAGATAAACTCCGAGACCTGGGGAGACCCTCTTATCTAAACGGAAAGGAAACACGCCCACACTGCCTGAGTGCACAGTGCCCAGTTAGAAAGCTGTTTTAGAGGCATCTAGAACCCTGTTCTACCCCCCAGGCCTCCACGATCATTGCACTGTCTGGGGATGGTTTTGTGGCAGTGAGGGAGACTGGCTGGATTTTTTTGTTTCTTTCTTTTTTTCCTTTTTTTGGTTGCTATTTTGAGTTTCCATGGAAAGCAAGAAAGGAAAAAATAATTTTCTGAAAAAGCATGGTCTGTGTGCTGTGTGGCTCATGGAGAGGCTGAGTGGCTGGCGCAGGCAGCAGCTGGGCAGGCTGACGGCTGGTAGAGTCATCGCCCGCTTCCTCTCCTCCACCGCTCTGAGGGCTTTCGTGAGGCTCCGCACCAGGGCTGGAAGGAAGCCCTTTCTGCCATTGCAGGACTGTCACAAAGGCCTGCCAGCAGGCTCCAGCCACGGCACCCTCTCTCTCCACAAACACCCATCTCAAATTTCACTGTATCAAGCCACAAACAGATATTCACTGGGTACCTTCCTGACTCAAGGCACCAGGGAATAGTAAGCAGAGATGTGAAAAGAGCCTCCTGGTCCTACCAGCCCATCCAGTTAGTGTTGGGCTGCCCTAGCCCATCACCAGATCAACAGTTTAGAGGTCACCCCTGCCCCAACAGGGAAGAGCAGACAGAGACCCTGGCAACAGGAAGACAGAAGCACACAAGTCAGAGAGGTGGAGGTTTAATAAGAAAGAATGCTATCAAAGTTGGGTCAGATCAGAGCCCTTTTTATACAGGATTCTTCCATCCACGGGGCCATTTGTAAAGGGCCAGGGCTATCTGGCTGGATGTATACGAGGACTTTCTCCTTCTTCACGCTGCGTCCCCCAAGGCCCATCCCCTCCGTGGCTGGATTCTTCAGAAGAGCAGCAGGACTCCCACAGGAGGAACCGGAGGGGCAGAGTTCTACCAGCTGGACTCTCTCATGTGCAACAACTAAAAGTTTCCAGTACTTAGAGGAAAGCTCTAATTGGATAATGTGAGGGACAGCTAAAGGAACTGGACTCCACCAGCTTTAAAAGATTTTTGCATTTCTAAAAGGGGTAGCAAGGCACGGAAAAATATTGAAAGAAATCGTGCTAAAGCGTTCACAGTATTTCTCTTTGAACGGTAGAATTACCCGTAGCTTTTCTCTTTTCACTATATTTGCTAAGTTTCCTGCATTAAGCACGTATTACCCTTCTTAAAAGAGTAAAAGAGTTACATGGTAGTTTATCTGATCGATCCAGAAAAAGCGGGGAGAGTTTTCTTGGGCTGTGCTTCAGTTTGGGAGGAAACCAGTTTTGAAGTCATTGCTGTTTCTGGTGCAGGGAAAGGAGCGATGCCCTTGGGAAAGCCTGGTCCTCTGGGTGCCAGCGGCTGCCTGGGACAGATGTGCCCAGCAAAGCCCCACAGGACGCCCGGGCCGGCCCGCCTCTGCAGGGACTCAGTGGAAAGAGTTTCCAGATACAAAGCAAAAATCTATTGACAGTGGCGTCAGGCCACCGAGCAGACTGTGGAGGAGGTGACTGGTCCCAGGGACACCCTACCACGAGGCCACATTTTTGGCATCTCTGTACACAAGCTCTAATTTATAGCTGTCTGGGATCATCCTCCCAGACAGAATACATTTGTCCACTTCTGCCACAGATGTGTTTGATGTATGATGGAAAATTAAAAGAGAGGTTGCAATTTAAAGCCATGGGGTAAAGAGAGAACATCTGCGTTGCTCATCCACGCCCCCCCCAACCCCAAACCACACGGGTTTCCTCCCGGGTCAAGGAAAGTGTGGCATAGCCGTGTGTCATCACTGTGGAGGGAATCCTCCCCGCACGCCGCCCGCGGGGCAGGAATACTGTGGGTGCAGACGGGTCAGGCCCCAGGTTGCTTGTGACGAGAGCAATCACCACTTTGGAAAGTGACACTGACAGAGACCACATTGCCCTTTGGTCTTTTTTAACTCACCATTCCTGCAAGGCTCTTAAAATACTCTGTGTTTGCTGGACTTTGGTTGCTCTACCACACACCAGAAATTGCTTATAAAAACTTCACACTAATGCCAGTCCAGCCAGGAACAAAGTGAGCAAGTCTAGTGTCAGTAAATCCCATCGCTCTGTGCGGCCCGCACCCAGGAAGAGACATCTCAGAGAGACCTGATAAGAAGGATCCAGGCCCCTCTAGTCCTTCATTTTAACCCTACTAGACCCTCCCACTCCCATTCCCCCATTCTCACTTCTCCTTTTACTCTCAGCCCCTCCTTTGCATTGAGACACAACAGTTCACATGAGCCAATGTGAAACCAAATGAGGACGGAGAGGCTGCCCCTACGTGCAGCTTTCCTCCTCATCTCCCCCACTCTCATCGCCTTCCCTGCCTCCCTCTTTCAAGGAGTTAACTATGATCCTGACTGGGTAACGTGCGAAGTATCAGGGAAGTAACAGTGAAAAAGACACGACTCAGTCTGACATCGAAGAAATCCCGTGAGCTAACGAGAACCATGGGACGCAGGAAGGGCACTCGATGGAGCCACGTCCCTTCCCAGGGATTAGAGCAAAGTGCAACAGCCAGTGTTAGGCAGAAGACATTCCATTTTGACTTCTGTCTCGAAGAATGAGTTGGAAGTCCCTGAGCAGGCAGGGAGGGGTGAACGTCAGGCAGAGGGAACAGTGTGGGTACAGCTGTGCTTCCTTACCTGGAACATGGTGCTGGGGAGAGAGTGATGTCTGGGGAGGTCAGAGGGCATGTGTCTCACAGCTTCTCCTAAGCTTGCTACCTTCCTGGAAAGCTCCTGGCAGGGCCTTGAGGGGAGGGGAGCCGAGAGCCACTCTTTGATGGCAACAATCAGGAGCATGAGTGCTGCCTGACCCCAGACACAATGAGGAGCCAAAGATAACGACCTGAGTGGCTGAAGGCCAGACAGAGCAGGGGTGCTGGGGGCTGGATGCGGTGAGTGGTGAGGACACAAAGGAGCCACTCTGCCACCTAAGGAACTTTGCTGAAGGCTGCTCTGCTGCCATGACTAGACTGTGCCTTTGAACTATTACCATTATAAACAGTGTTTTTCCAGGAATGGGCTTTTTCATATAAGAGCATGAGTTGCGCTTTGAGGTTAATCATTTAATATACATTTATTGAGCATCAGTTGTGAGCCAGGAGGCAAGGATTCATAGATACTCAGTTCCTTCTTCAGAAGATCTCAGGGGCTCTGGAGAAGCGGATCCCCCTGGGTAGCCCAGGAGGGACTCTAACCCGCAGGTGAGAATTCCGTCACAGAACCAGCCCCTGAGAAGACGCCAGATGCCATCATTCTCTGTATCACCATCTCTTTTCTGAGTACCAGCTGTGCGTTAGGCGCTCAGAGAATATGATGCAACAGGGTTTTGAGGGCAAAAGTGTGTGCACTATTTAAAAAGAGGAGAGAAGTAAAATAGAAGAAAAAAGATAGCAGTGAAAGGAACAGATAATGACATATAAATCCATATGGTTAGATAGGGGGTCACCAGGTTCAATTATATTATGCATTTCCACGGGTGAGTTATTTCAGCAGCTAACCATATTCCGGAGAGTTTGCAGGACAGAGTTGCAAATTGCAAACATACGTTCCTGGAGAAGACAGTGTGTGTTCTAAAACTAAAGTGGTTGGGAGGACTATAGACTGATTAGAAAACTTTTAAAGCAAAGTGGATGGACACAAAGTTTCCTTAAAGTGATGCCTATTTGCCAGAAACCAGTCATGTAGCATGAAGCAGAGCTTGTCAATGGATTTCAATTTTATCCCACTGTATTTATTTCCACTTTCCTGGGACTGCTGATGAAATGTTTTATCTTGAAGACATATTTTTTTCACTTAATTTTTTTCCCCCATGAATCACAAACATGATTCTTAGGAAGGCATTAAATTGGAGGGTGGTGCTGGGATACAAAAGTGCAAAGATCACTCCCTAGGCCTGGTCCTCCATTCTGCGTGGCCCCCCACCCCTACCCCTCACTTCCAGAGGAGGGCAGGCTACCCTGATCACAAACAGCAAATACATGCTACTCCATTATCTGATGACTAAACCCACCAGAAAGCCCCCTTTTTTGGGTAAAAAGCATCACTTAGGGAAGTTCTCAGACAGCTCATGGGCCTTTCCCTAGCTGGAGACACAGCTAATTGTTCTCAGATGCTCTAGCCACACAGTTTCAGTTCCTTGGGCCCCTCTGCTCTAGCTATTTCCTTAGCTTCGGAAGCTCTCCTCCACCTGGCTCGCACCCACTCACAGCTGTCAGCTCCGGTGTCACCTTCTCTAGAAAGTCTACCTTGGCCTAGGTGTGAACCTGCCTCCATGTCTCATATAACCCTTTCTGTTTAAATCGTTCTGTAGTTAAAAAAAATTACGGCCTGAGCTGTGTGAGGACAGGGGCAGGGTCTATGTTCCTGTGCCCCGAGCACCTCGCAGAGCCAGCTCCCAGCAGGCATTTGTCAAATGAAGGAAAGGAGGGCCTTCACAAAGGTGCCGTTTAGGCTGTGCCGCTG